AGAAGTGTGGCAGAATATGTTGGGTCTGGACACCACCGAACAAGCCACGTGTGCATGGGAGCAGCTGCGCAGTATTGAGCATCCTCCTTCTACCAGCAACACACACCCAAAGCAGGTAAATGGACTTAGATCTGTGTACACATTAAGCCTTACTATGGCATACGCAGTGAAACAGTCTCTTTGTGGTGGTGTGCCCACCATTCCCAGGGGACTGATGTTTGCACCTGGCTGCAGGATGAGGCCATAGTCTGGGAGAAGTAGATGACAGGCAGCTGGGATGGCTTCCATAGCCACCAGTTTGTTTCCACATTTGTTTCTGCACAGGGTAAGAAGTGACATATGGTGACAGAGATGAGCACCGAGATCACCGAGATGCGTTGGCTGGGTGGGAGTGACTGGCGTAGCTGAGTAGTCTCAGCAGCGATTCAGGGGTTCGTGTCGAACTGCTAGCAGGGCTGCTTGTTGTTAAAATATCCTGGAGTTCAGAAGGTCTGTTCATAGACTGGTGCTCCTGCAGCTTTTCTCTGGCCGCAGTGAGTCACTGACATTTGGTGTACTCCCACTTCTCATCTGCTTAGTTGGACACATGCAAGCACAGCTGCTGATTTTACAATTGTAGGTAATGTAGAAGTGCTCTATTTCCTGCATGAAGGAGACTATGGAAATTGCATTGTTGTTAAAATTGCTTTTGGTTAAATCACGTGCTTATGGGCTCTTCTACAATAGTCATAAGCTGTGAGTAATTCATACTTTGCAGTAAAACTATTAATCATGCTCTTTGGTGCTTCCTGTAGGTGCTTTTCCATATCTGCCATGACCTGACCCTTGCAGCCCTGAGCTATCAGACTGCTACCTGGGATGAGGCAGTGAAAAGTATTCTTGGAGCTGTGACCCGCAGTTTTGATGCTGGTAATTTCATTCTGATGCAAGAGATTTGCAGTATCATCCTTCCTGAAGGTACGTCTCTTGTGCATCTCCTGGCACTGACAGATAAGGTGATCTTCCTTGTAAGCACATTGAAAAGCTGTTTTCATCCCATAGTCATAAATCACTCCAACTCGCCCTTCCCTTCATTCTCTGCAGAGTGCGCAGTGCATTTATTTTGTGGCTCTTGATCATGTGAATATCCTGATGTGCAGCTTAGGAATTCTGCTGTAGGTGATGGGAACATAGAGTCTCATGCTAGCTAGAACAGGGTATTGTGTTTAAAAGGATACCAGAGATGTCTGCGTTTGTTTTTTTGCTTCCTGCACCACTCTGCCAGCATCTGGTTTGGGTTTCCAGGACAGCCATTCATTTACCAGATCTGATCTTTTTCTTTGGAAAGCTCTATAATCTATTTGTAATCCTTTTTTTCAGGCTGTGATAACTTGAGACACAAACTGGACAGCACAAATTCTCAGGGCATGGATGCTTGCAGAAGTTTAGAGGCCTTTGTGGCTTACGGACTGCTGTATGACCTGTGGTGGAATCCCCCCAAAGACTCACTTGTCTTGCAGAAGACTGGTTTGGATCTTGTGCAGTGTCCCAGTGAGCAGACAGGTCTTGAGAAGAGTTCCATTTCAGGTCATTCCTCCCCTGAAGAAACTCCCGATCAAACTGCCCTTGAAATTGATGAAAACCTCTGCAGTACATCTGAAGTTCACAGGTGTGAGACCGAAAGTGACTCAAGAAGGAGCTCAGTCAGTTCGGTAGACAGACAGTCAAAACTGAATGGCTGCAAAGTGCTTCTTTCAGAAGAGATCGCTGCTTTACAGAACACCCAGAGGGATATAGCTGAGGTCCAGCAGATTTTAGCAGATATGATCCGCCAGCATCAGCAGCAGAGGAACAATCTCCAGGAAAGCACCCAGGAAGGCAACCTGCAGCAGAGTTCAGAGACTGAATCGGACAAACCATGCTCTGACAGTAGCCAGATGAACGGGTAAGCTTCAGAACATGAATGAATGGATTGAAAACTGTTGCTTTTTGTGTGTTGGTGTAGCAAATTTGTTGTTTAGCTGAGATTGCCTCTAATCTCAAGCTCGTCAACCAAGGAAACTTCAACATACAGCTCAAAAGTCTTGCATTTCCGTGAACCACTATGTGCATAAACTTAATATGGCTGAATAACTTTCTGATACACAGAGTATGTTGTTACAGTGAATAAACAGGGCAGCTTGAAAAGAGGAGGATAATGAAAAGGACAAGCATGGTCTAAGAGGTCTGTCTCTTTGTTGAACAATTACTTGGGACATTGGAAAGACTGAGCTAGAGTGTATAACGCTTGTCCAACTGTCTCCTGTGCTCCCTCCCTCCATTTACGCAAAACAGTTACTCATGACACCTGCTCTTCTCTTGACAGTAAAGATGAAGTAAAGGAACCAGTTACACTCCCTGAGCTAACAAAGCAGCTTCTAAAAGCAAAGCAGAAACTAGCAGAATTTCCAGACAATTTAAAGGTAAGTCTTCAGAAAAGGCACTGTGGCTCTGAAAAAAGACAAGTCTTCTCGTAAGGGCAGCCTCATCATAGAATCCCTTCCATACAGAAAGTAAGGAACAGTGACTTTCTTTGTGATCTTAAGGCAATTTTGAGAGAGAATTGACACGTGGTAGCAGGCTGCTATTTTTGTTTCAAGCATAACCTTCTCCATGCAGTGAGAAAGTGCAGGTGAATCTCCTGCATGGGAGAACGCAATGGTGGGATATTCTGTATTAATTTCTCCTGTGCATTTTAGAAGTAATCTCTTGCTACTTACAATTATGTATGCAAAACCAGTTTCAATAAACAGTGAAATCAAGTATTTAAGGTATAAAATGGCCGTTATAGATTGGGAACTGTAGAAACTGCACATCACGTGTTTGAAAACAATGTTTCCTACGCTGTCTTACCCTCTCTGTTCTCTAATCTATAATATAACAAAAGTTAATCATGGTGATTGTGCTAACTCATGACTATCTGTCTTTTCTAAAGATACTATAAAGCAGTGTCTTTAGAGAGCTGGCTGACTGAATATGTTGTTGAACAATAATTCAAAGAGTAGACATCACCTTATGTTCCCTTTTTTTTTTTCAGGTCTTCCCGTTCCCTGACGTGCTGGAGTGCTGCCTTGTACTCCTTCACATGGGATCCCAGTGCCCTCCTGAACTACATGAACAGGCACTGGATCTCCTCAGGAAACACGGGAGCACTAAAATTTACAAAAAGTCCGGCAGGAGATTCTTGACATTTTGAGACCAAACCATCGCTCTTGAGCTGCCTCCAGCCACACCACCAAGGCTATTCTTTCTTCAAGTGAAAGCTTATTTTGATGGCCATGGTTATTGAAGGCTACTGTTTTGGATAAAACTACAAAAAATCAGGTTTATATACAGAATCACTTGTGAGCATCAATTGCTACTACTAAAGGAGATTATGTTAGAAAATTGAAAAGCAGTAGGCTGTGGCCTTTAATATCAGTCTTTCATCAGAGGAGGAAGAGTAGCTGCCCTCAGGAAAAACAATGGTTTCTGTAAGCAAACTGACCCTTAAGCCAGTCTTGTATTTAAAAGCATTGTGAGTTGATTTTCCTTCCTTTAAATAAAGTCTTCTACCACCAGGAATCAGCATTTAATTTGATGGAGAGAAATCAGTATCAATCGAGGGTAAATGCATTAAAAATAAGCCTTTTTTTTTTTTTGTTAAAGGTACTACGTCAGTCAAACGTAGTAGATAGCACACACTTGTTTTATGACTTAGCTTTGCGTGGTGAAGCCACCTGTACAACATAAAAGGGAGGGCAAAATCTTTTATGTTTGATTCCAGCACGATCAACGAGAGATAAGGGACTTCTCCAGGTCAAGAAAAGTGACAGTCCCTGCTTTCAGCAACATCCATAGCTGAACAAACTGCTTTTTGCTACAGTGATTGTAAATGTGAGATACTATCAAATTCTCTAGAAGATCTGCTCTTTTCAAAGTGCCAAAACCAATCCTAGACTCTAGAGTCTTAAACATGCTGCATTTTGACCAGTCTTACAGCTTACCTAAAGGCTTTGCCTGTCTTCATAGAAAAACTAATTCTTCTTAATAAAAGAACGAGGCTGCAAAAGTCTTAGTGAACACAGCATCTGTCTTAGTAATTTCTAGAATCAAGTTTTTAAATGCAGCAGAAAAGTTCATGGTAGGATATGGGGGATGATGAATTTAGAAAGTTGGTAAGTATAATAATTAAGAAAAAATGTAGCAGGGATGGATTTTTTAGATCAAGACCTGTTCCAGATTCTTCCAGCCAAAATGCAGACTTGATACTGATAGATTTCCTGCTCCAAGCTGAGTAAAGCATCAGAACAACCTGAAGAGCAGTAGATGAAAGGCAGAGGTTATATCAAAATAAGATCCTTCCCTAGGTGTATTAACCTAGTAAACTGTTGTCACTAATAGAACTTACTAAATTCTGCGCAAAGTACTTGAAAACCAGGAGGGGGAGCTAGTGCTTAACCAAACAGCCCTTCTGTACTTCAGAACCACTGGAGTTCAGATGAAGCAGGAAAACTTCACACAGGACAGATGAACAGAACAGATTTGTCAGTTTAAAGGTCTATGCTGCACTGAAAGAATACTCCACAATAGTGCTAGCTGTGCTGAAAGATGAGCAGAAACAAGTCCACCAAAGAAATCTTAAGTTCAGTTTTCATCAGCTACTGTACAATATGCTCAAAAGCAGATCTTAATAAGAACTACCCTAGTAGCACATCATAAACAGTAAAAGAAGAAAGAAAACTTGAACCTTTCCCTTTGAGCATGTATTGCTCAAATTCAAATTCCAAAACCTGAACTTTGGGAATTTTAGTGCTTGATGGAAAATCCAAAACAAGGCCTGGTTTAAAAAAATTTATTTTACAAAAATTAAAAACAAGTAGTATTTACAAGCATTTTAAATACCAGCTCTAAACCTCAACTCCTAATAATGGCTTGTTTAAAATGCAAGACATTAAGTTTGCCATGCCCAGAAGGGTTGGTTTTTTGTTTTGTTTTGTTTTTTAAGAAATTTAATTACAGAGCTGTTGAATAAAAAATATTATAGAATAGCTCATTTTTTAAAAAGTCAGAATCCCAAATTGTTCTTCCATCCTCTAGCTACTTTTCAGATGTTTATAATGAAGAGAAATGGAGCTGTTTTATCTTGTTAAGCATATAGTAAAATTAGGGATAGGAGAAGGGGAGGGAGAAGAGGAACAAATATTTAACCATCAGCTGAACTACTTGTGTTGCAATGAGAATAAAATTTGTAGGTTAAGCTGAAGAATGAGTGAAGTCAGAGTATTGGTCCAATCCCCTATCAAAAGGTCCTTGAGCAAAGGTGAACTTTTAGGCTCTCTTTATCTATTTCCAGAACAGTTTATTAATACCCGTAAGAACTAAGCTGAGGTTCAGTGTGGGTCAAACCTGTACCATACAGAATTAGAAACTATGGAGAGCTGATCAAATCAGCTCCAGTAATATCCATTCCCACTGCTGTTAAAGCAAATCTCTGAATATTTTTAGCTGCAAGGATAATGTTTAATGTCATCTCTTCCCAAACCTCTGCAGTGATCAAAGGGAGCAATTTCCACAGACTACACCAAGATAAAATAAGCAAATCATGAGGTGAAGCAGTCACCCTCACAACATGCAGAAGTTTTAAAATAAGCTTTATAAAGCACAGTTTGCAAATTTGTGTGCACGTCTGTGTCCATCTTCACTGGATTTCCAAACTCCTAGCTCTACTGAATATTCTACCGTTAAAGTCTTCCTTGCAGGTTCTGTACAGTATAAAGAGGAAAAAAACAGAGGTATACACAGTAGGTTCTGTCTTTTGCCCTTGGTATTAAAAAGATGGCAAACCACAAATGCTGGCATTAGGAATTCAGTCAACTCTTCTTTTGGGTTTCAAAGGAAGATGCAGCTCTTCAGCAAAACTGCAGGCCTTCTGCAGGCTGTATACTGAAGATACCTTTTGTTTGAGACACTATTAGGGAAAAGGGTTGAGGATAGCAGCTGCCAATATGGTAGCCATGTTCTGCTGAGGGTTACCGCGTATCATGGCTGCATGTTGTTGATAATAGCCAAAATGCTCATTTTCTCCTGGGCCGAGTCCACATCTTCATTTTGTTTCTGCGCAACTCCGGTGCCAAGGCCATACAGCCGCCCACAATACTTTGCGTCATCAATTGTATCCTCAAAAAACAACTGCAGATTAAAAAAAAAGAAAAAGGAAGAAATAGTTATTGTTTAGTTGTTCCTCTAAATCAGAAAGCCCCTGTTAATTAAACAGCTCATTTTAAGTCAACCACCTAAGATTCAGAATAGGAATTAAAATAAACACATGAAAGAGGAGTAAACAGAAGTCTGTGCCAGTATTAACAATTCCTACTATTGACAGTTTGAAGTGTGATGGCCACAAGGCTCAAAAAAACCAAAAAACAAAAAACACATTGCACATGTTGACATTTATGGGTAGGAACTGGAGAAAGAAGAACCATAAAGAACACTGCAGTACCTCTTTCATTCTGAAGAATGCCATTCCCGTGAGAAGAGAGTCCGATCCTGCCTGGTGTTGTCGTCCAATTCGCTGCAAATCCAGCTGATCTGCCACTTCTTGAAGGCCACCCTGCAATGAGAACAGAACACACTTGATTTTGGAAGATCCATCTCTTACCAAAATAACCACACTTCTCCAAAAAGTGGGGGCAAACACTGGCTATGATAAATCGATGCAGATTCCAGCAGTACACACACCAGCTGTGAGCAAAACTGGTAAATACTCCTCAAGATGCATAAACACTCTTCTTAAATTTAGGTCCCTTGCTTTCCTACTGCAAATACTTGAGATAACTGTGGGTACATTTGTAAGTTACAAACACTGGACCTGTCCCTCCCTCTCCTCAAACAAAGCTATCATTTAATAGATAAATTACTTTCAACTCTGAGTGTCTACCAGTTTATCAAGTCACGTAATAGTACATTTCAGAAGAAATACTCCACCTTGCATGGGGAAGATAAGCATGCTGAATTATAATTAGCCTCTGAAATTGCTGATAATACAAACCACAAGATTACAGGAAATGTCCCCTGTATAATATACATATTGATAAGTCTAAAACTGGGGTGACAGTATCTATTAGATAACAAACTTAGTCACAGGTGCTTATGTGTGACCATTGGCTTTTATACACGTGCCAGTTTTAAGACTTGATAGATGCAGCAGTTCTGTCACTTGGCTCACTATACATTTATAGTGTTGATGCCCATGCATTGCTTGCTTGCTGGGGAAATAAAAGTACCTTGAGGTTTTTGCAGCTCTTCATTAAGTACTTTACATCATAGATAGATGGGAAGAAAAGGTTCAAGATATGGAAAAATTCATGTTCCTCTTCTGGTAGCCTGGAATCTGTCAACAACTTCACCATGTAGCCAAAGTCATAACCACTGAAAACAAAAACAGAGAAAGCAGATAAGCAGGCAACACCTAGACACAGTCCGTACCAATATCTCATTTTTCACAAGAGTTTTACATGCTGTAGCTTTCAAACCTTAACATTTTCTGACATTCATAAAACCCTGGATCAGAGCCAGAATTCATCCTGATCTTCTATGTCAAATGCTCTCTGGGTGCCCCTGCTAACCTCTTGCGGAACAGCTAAGCCATTGGGAAGAATATACTTTTCTTCCCAACACGGCAAGTTTCTGTAGCTATGGGCAACACAGAAAAGCAGGAAACTCTGTAAGGATCTGTTGCCACCACCTCCTCCTCCCTCAAGTCCTTTCACTTGCGATGACATCAAGGACTAGAGGCTTTGTAATAAGTTGTATGAAATGCTACAAGAAAGACATCTTAACTACAGAGATCTCTTTCTCTACATAAACACAAGATGGAAGTTGAGAACACCACCAACGTAAGGAAGAAGAAACAAAAACCTTACTTTACAATGCACACAAATTACTAAGTGTAGAAATCACATTTCACCTTGTTAATAACTTCTTCCATCGAGGAAGACTGCACCAGCGAAAGAATTTGCAAGCAACGTATACATAAAACTCAGACCACAGTAAGTGCTAGTACCAAATAAAGTGCCAAGTGTCCTTACTTCTTAAAACTTCACCTTTCTATCTTTAAGCTTATTTTATACAGAGCTGCTAATTCTCCTTAAAATCTGCGTTGGTCTCCATGGACAAAAGCAGTAGTACTTCAAGCAAAAAGAGATTTCTCACTTGATAGCATCAGTGAACATCTTGGACCTACCTGTGGAAGGACAGCCATTTCACACTGTCACTAAGGACAACCCCAGATGTCATAAGCAACTCAGCAAAATGCAGGGTATCGATCCCTTCTTCTTCGTGCTTCTGGAACTGCAGCCCAGAGCTAGCAAGGAGGTCGATGGAATCCTGAGAGTACATGTCCTCCCTGAAGGAGAAAAGCAGCTTTGTACTCAAGGTACTAACAAGTCAGGCTCATTTTAGAAAAATTCCCCCAACACTGTATTTCAAAACCTGGAGTGACCAGTGGGCTATCTCTGGGTTCCACATTTATGTCTCTGGAAAATTCAAATTTGATCAGTTTTAATACCACTACTGCAGCCTCCTACATCCATAACCAGCTATTCTGCGACCATAACTAGTTAATAATTCTGTTGCTAGTGCTAATTCCAAAGATTCCACCTCCATAGAACTGAATGAAGTTTTGAAAAACGTCATTTCTGCAAGGCGAACAGAAGCACTGCAGACAAGAGCACGGAGAAAAGGAGAGTTCTCACAAATAAGAAAACATGCAACTCTAAAGCACCAAGCATCCTTCCTGTCTACGCTTCACAGCACATACCACCTTATCATCCTGTTCCATCTCTGGGAGTAAACAAAGCTGTGTAATACTTGACTAAGGAAGGAGGACAGAGATGAGTGATAATACGCTTCGTGGAGAACAGAGCAGGAACCTGACTTTTATACCAGGTTGTTTCATTTGGGGGTGGAGGGGGAGGGAAGATGACACCACACAGGAGATTTCATGCCAAATATGGTAACTGAGTCAACTGAAGTGATCACACTGTGAAAACCACTTCACTCTGACTTCAAAACCTTTAAGAGGCTCACAAACTTGTGGAAGTAAATATTGCAGCTTTGGGTCTAAGAACTGCATGATCTGCACATACTAGCTATGATTTTTTTGTAATGTTTTCCAATGCCAGTTCCATAAAAACACGGTTTGATTTCCAATAAATGTGTGGTTTTGACAGATAAACCCTCTCTTTAGATCCAGGCAGCTCTAGTGGTAATTACGCTGAGTTTGTCTTTACAATTACAGGAGAAGGGATAATGAAACTTGTTTCAGTTGTAACCCTGGATATTGCAGTATGGAGGAGACCAAAAAATCTGCCACACTTCATTTAACAAGATTTATACTCCTGAACAGGTGTGACAACTACACCAACTTTTTTTTAGATCTCAGTTTATATTTTAGCATGGATCTGTAAAGAGCTATTTTCCTTTTTAATTAAAACAGCACATCTATTTATTTTTAGAAAAAAAGAGATGGATTTATAAATATATATATATATTTTAAAAGCATAAAGTTTAAGACTA